AAGGTCCTTTATGGTGAGGCCTTCTGAGAGTGGGTTATTCTGAAAAAGTATGGCACTGGGAAGTTTGACAGGACCAAAAGACATGAAACTACACTTGGATGATGAAAACTCCATCTGCCATGTCGAACCCCTTCTGCTTAAGCGTAGTAAATCGACATTAATTTTTTCAACACAAACGTTTGCGGTGTCCTTAAAGTATGAGTAAACACAATTGAGGTCATCGGCATAAGTAAAAGTTTGCGAATTTCCTAGCTAATTCCAAATATCACTGATGTAAAGAAGGAAGATTATAGGACCCAGAACCGTTCCTTGATGTACGCCACTCGTGATCGAGTGGGGTGTCGAGTAGCTATTACCGACCATGACTTTCTGATATCGATTGGACAGATAGGACCTGATGAAGTCGAGTAGAGGCGGCCGGTGGCAAACTTTCACACAGTGACTTGATACTGAAGGGGGTCTCAGTTTTATTGAGACTGCGCAAACTGACATGAGCGTTTTCTATTTTTTTGTATGTGGAATGCAGTATGGACAACCTACAGCAGAGGAAATTTACCCAGGATTTTCAATTTTTTTCTTTACCCATTCCGCCAAAGGAGTGCTAATGTCAAATAAGGAGATTTTCTTTCAATGAGTCTAGCAATTAATTTTACACATCGAGTGATTAGAATTAAGTAAGATTATCCAGCTGAAAGGGCAAACCGTGTACGATTTTCTCTTAATTTGCGAGAAGTCCCTCTTAGAAGTTCGGACGTCGAGTGTTCAGAGGTGAAGCAAACAACAACGACTTTATACTGGCATTCATCGGACTAAGGTGAGACCGACAATATTAGAGGATGAGTAAGAGAAACATGTGATAAGGTCCTAGCTTTATTTCTTGAAGGGAAAATTATGCGATACGAAACCACATATCTGCGCAGCTTTTTCGGGAATCTGATCCGCGTGGGGTGGTAAAGTTTGCTTATCTATGTGACTTATGTCTATGTCCTTCACCGTAGAGCGTTCTAAACCTGAGTTGCTTCGATAGCTTATGGGACCGGGAAGCTTGACGAGTCCAAACCACATGAAACTAGGCTTGAACAAAAACTGCATCTGCCAGGTGGGACCCCATCGCCCCAGGCAAAGAAGTGTTGGGTTGGTTTCTTCATAGCAAGCATTTACGTTGTCAATAGAATGCGATAAAGTACGCACGCAAAATTATTGACAATAATATACGCTTGTGATCCGGAGATTGCTTTTAAAATGCTACCAAGATATAAAATGGTAGATCGGTGGGACCAGAACCGGTTCCTTTTTATGCCGACCGTGGTCGCGTGAGGCGTGTGCAGCCATTAGCAAACACATCCTTATGATAGCAGTAGAATAGTCGAACGCAATATAATCGATTAAAGTAGACCGGATGCCGAGGTCTTACAGTTTCGCTAAATTACGTCTGTGCATCTCCTAGTTGAAGGTTTTACTGAGATAGAAGCGGATCATTCCCACTAACTGATGTTCATATTGAAAAGAAGTGTTTAAGTTAAATAAATAAAACGACAAGATTTGCAACAACTTTTAAATAAAAACTCATGCCAGTCGAAAGCCAGGTAATGATCTGCTAGACAATAGTCAGGGGTATTTAAAATATTATCTTTTCAAGAAGTTTGGATAGAGATGGAATTTTACTCACTACTCCAGAGTTATTAATCTCTGCCGGCGCTCCGGACTTGAAAACTTGAAGGGTAATACATGTTCCATATTCCAGGGGGCATTCACTCTCCATATTTGTGGTTTTTATTTGTTTTGATCGCAGTAAAGACTTTGATGAAGTACCATTGTGGCGGTCAAGGATGTGAGATCAACTTAAACCACACACAATAAGTTCGTTTCGTCTACTGTCAGAAGTCAGGGAGCTGTGAGGACTAGTTTATTCTGTACACAGGGCAGGTTGCCGTAAGTCGGCGGTTTGCTTGCAACAGAGAAAAGCGTCCGTTCACGGAGAGCGTCAGTCGCGGTGTGTGTTTACGCGAGCGTGAGTGTTTGGGTCAGCAGGAAGGGGAGAATGACTGTCTGAGTGGTGGTCGTGTGATTGGACAAATTAGGGGAGGAATGGAGGGCGCATACTCACAAGGCCTCACGGGAATCAAGCCAAAGCGTTCGACGCGCGTTAGGTGATACTAGTTTGTGAGAGCAGCCGGGGGTCACTGCAGCTGGACAGGAGGTGCCCCAGTTCTAGCCGGCGGGGGTGGTCGTGTGTCAGCGGCCTGTCAGTGCTTGTCACGGCCATCGACCGACAAAACGGAGCCGGAGAAAGGGGGGACTGGAGCGGCTGCTACAACTCCCCCCCCCCTCAGACACCAAACGAAGTGAAGGCGTCGGCATGTTAGCCAGCCACAAACCTGTCGGTCCAGTGGACGTGACGGCCAGATCGTGTGTGGCGAACCGGAGGTGGACTGTCGCCAGTAGGTGGAGGCACCACTGTTTGCGGCGGGGCACAGTGTTAGATAGATTGATAGATAAATTTTATTAAAGACCCGTCGGGGTCCCATCAAAGCAAGTTAAAATAAATCTACATGCGAGTTTTAGACGAGGTAGGCCGAATCTTTACAAAGTGCAATTCATAGTTTCTGAATTATTAGTCCCATGAGAAACATGATAATTGAGGGGTGAAAAAAAACTCCTTAAAAAAGTTAAAAATGATTGGATTAATTTTACAGGGGTGAGGAAAGTTCACTGTCGTCGATGTAGGCCAGCTTGACGCGATCAATGCTGACTGTGTCTGTCTTGCCGTTGCGGTCGATGACAACATCTTTGTCAGATCGACGAAGGACTTTATACGGCCCGTCATTGTGTGGTTGGAGTGGTCGTCGGACAGCGTCATGCCGAACCAAGACGAAATCGCACTTATCCAGGTCGGGAGGGATGAAGGAATTGGCCGGTGACGCCCGAGGGGACGTTGCGCGGAGATTGCGCGTGACACTACGCAGCTGCTCCACATAACTGCAAGGTTCGAAAAACGTTAGGATGTTTGAGGGAGACACTAACTCATCGGGCAGTCGTAGGGAGGTTCCGTAGACAAGATCAGCCGCAGTGCAACCGATGTCGGCCTTGAAAGTGGAACGAAGGGACAGCAGCACCAGGTGAAGGTGATCAAACTATCGGGAAGCATCGGGCTGGGCCATAAGGGAAGTCTTGAGCTGTCGATGGAAGCGTTCGACGAGACCATTTGCTTGCGGGTGGTACGCTGTTGTTCGGATTCGGTTGGTTCCGCGAAGGGATGTGAGTTCGCGAAACAGCGTGGACTCGAATTGGGATCCGCGGTCAGTGATGACAGTCGCAGGAACTCCAAAATTGGACACCCAATGAGTCAAGAAAGCTTTCGCAACGGTTTCGGCACTGATGTCCGGCCACCGAGTAAAACGATCAATGCATGTCAGCATATAGGTAGAACCGTTAGATGGTGGCAGCGGACCTACCAGGTCAATATGCACATGACTGAAGCGTGCATCAGGAGTGGAGAAAGTTCCTGGCGGAGTAATAGTATGCCGATGCGTTTTGGCTGGCTGACATGATAGACAGGATAGGGTCCAACGCCGTACATCCCGGTTGATGTTGGGCCAGGCGAATCGGTCAGTGATGAGTTTCACTTTCGCCCGGACTCCAGGGTGGGATAGATTGTGAAGGGCGTTGAACACTTGGCGTCGTAAAGTTGCAGGGACAAAGGGACGTTCATGTCCGGTAGAAATATCACACTTGATGGTGCCAGTGCCAGTGGGAAGGGGAACATTTTGAAGGCGCAAAGAAGAATCCTCGTGGCGGTATTGGGAAAGCTCGTCATCCGATCGTTGAGCCTCAGCCATGAGCGTGAAGTCTATGGCGTCAGTTGTGATGGAAGCTGCAGCATATCCGCCTCGGGCCGTCAGGACATCATGCCACAAACGCGTGACAAGCGAACGATCAAGGTCATGGCACCCTGTTCACACCTTCTTTGTGCTGATTGGCCACCCATCAGCCTATGACAGTCCCCCTTGCCATATACCCGGCCGTTCTCACAAGCCTCCTCACTTGTGCTGCCTACCGTACTCAGTACACGCCCTATTTCCAATTACCCTTCTGTTTTGCATACATAACATTGGCGACGCAGCCTAACGAACATGTCTTCATTGCTGCAGACACCGTTACCTTTCTGGCCAAAGAACACCCAGAAGCCCTCAAATGACTCGTGGTTGCAATGGAGGAAGACATTTGAGGATTATATTGAACTGCTCCCGATTTTGTCACCCACTATTGTACGAGACGTCCCATCTAAGTTGAAGCTCCTCCAGACGAGCCTCGGGGAGTTGGGACAACGATATTTCGATGCCCTCAATTGACAACAGGCTACAGATCTCCAAACAGCCTTCTAAAAACTCGAGTCAGTTTGGGGAGGAAAAGACAACGTCTTTCTCAGTCGCTATCGGTTTTGTCAAATGCATCAAGAATCCAATCGATGCGTCAGTGATTTTATTACTAATCTGACTCTGGCCATCCAGGACTGTGGGTATAAAGAGATCAAGGCAGACAACTTCGAGCACGCAATGCTCGTTCAGCAGTTGATCGTCGGTCTGCGCGATGAAAAAGCTCGGGAAAATCTTTTAACAGAGATGAAGGATTTGTCATAGGAGAAAGCCTGTGATATCGCCAGTCATCAGGAGCGCGTGCGGCAAAACCTTCAGCAGCTGAAGCAGTCAAACGATGGAGTGATAGCATCCTTGGAATCGGAAATGGCTGTCTCCCGAGTCAACACTGCTGTGTCTTCACCTAGACAGCGATCCTCAGCTCCCGCAAAACAACTACCATCCTGCTACCGTTGTGGTCAGCATCATATCCGGTGGTCAGACTGCAGACACCAGAAGACGGTATGCCAGTTTTGCAAGAAAGTCGGCCACATCGAACGAGTGTGTTTCTCCAAAAGACGAGCGAATACTAACACGCATGCAACCTACCCTAATCCAGCTGGGGATGGCGAGGCGATACTCCGAATGTTTTCAGCAAACGCGCCACTCCAATCGCCCTACACCACCATGCTTCCGGTTGATCACCATCCTGTGAAGTTTGAAATCGACACTGGCTCAGCTGTTACTCTCATCAATGAGGCCTCCCCTCAGAAATTACCCTCCCTCCTTCCGGCCAGCTCAACATTCCGCAGTTACACCGGACAGAACGTAGAGGTTCGAGGGGTCTTTACAGCCGAAGTCGAGCATGATGGAGAACTTCATTACTTGCCGGTTCATGTGGTGAGAGGAAGCCAGCAACCAAATCTCCTCGGACGGAATTGGATTAAATGTGTGCCTTCTGTGCTATCCTATGTACATCGGATTGGTGTAAATCCGGCTTTGGATTCAATTTTGGTAAATCATAAGGATCTATTTCGTGACGATTCTGCTACCCACTACCGCGGTCCACCTGTTAAATTCCAGTTTCAGTCAGATTTCCGGCCCCGGTTCTTCAAAGCTCGTACAGTCCCCTATGCAGTCGCACCGAAGGTCGAAGAAGAGCTGGATCGCCTACAGAAAGCGGATATTATTGAGCCCGTGCAATATTCGGAATCGGCAGCCCCAATAGTTCCTGTTCTTAAAACCGATGGTTCTGTGCGTATCTGTGGCGACTACAAGCTGACAATCAACTCGGCAACTAAACTGAACCCTTATCCTCTCCCGCGCATCGAGGATCTGTACGCATCTCTCTCGGGTGGTCATCAGTTTTCAACTTTGGACCTAAAGCATGCCTACAACCAAGTCGTCCTAGATACTGAATCCTGAGACGCCACCACCATCAATACTCATCGGGGTTTATTTCGATATAAAAGACTACCATTTGGAGTAAGTTCGGCTCCCGGTTTATTTCAATGCTTGATTGATAACCTCGTGAAGGATATACCCCACGTTTGTGCATACCTTGACGATATATTAGTTACCGGCCCATCTGAACATAGTAATCTAGAGACGCTAAGCATCGTGTTATGACGTTTAGAAGAAGCAGGTTTTAAACTCAGGAGAGATAAGTGCACTTTCCTTGCCAACTCGGTAGAATACCTGGGCTTCAGGGTGGGTAAAACTGGCCTCCATCCATTCGAACATAAGCTCAAAGCCTTGAAGACGGCGCCGCGCCCCAACAATACGAGTCAATTGCGTTCATTCCTGGGGTTGGTCACCCACTTTAGTCGCTTTATTAATCAGTCGGCTACGATTCTAAAGCCTCTTTATCGACTACTTGAAAAGAATCGTTGCTGGAACTGGTCGGAGGTCGAACAAAGTGCTTTTGAACAAGCAAAGGCGGCTCCTACCCCCTCATCTGTCCTACTTCACTATGACCCCGAAAAGCCTACCATACTGAAATGTGATGCGTCTCCGTACGGCGTAGGTGCGGTTATCATGCACCGAATGCCGTCTGGTGCGGAGATGCCGATCGCCTTTGCATCAAGAACCATGTCACTGTCGGAAACCAACTATTCGCAACTAGATAAAGAGGCCTTAGCAATAATGTTTGGCCTACATCGCTTCCACCTCTATCTTTTTGGCCGGCCCTTTGAGATTCACACTGATCACAAACCCCTCTTAGGTCTCCTGGGAGAAAAACGAGGGATACAACAGATGTCCTCGCCGAGAATGCAACGATGGGCACTCACGTTGTCTGCTTACACGTATGCAATGAAGTACATTACAGATAGTGCAAACGTAGCGGCTGACGCCTTGAGTAGGCTGCCTATCGTGGACGATGGCATTAACGGGACACCTGTTTTTGAGACGGTGAATCTTTTGCAGAACCTAGTCAACTCACCTGTAACCTGTCAACAAATTCGACAGTGGACATCGAGAGACCCTCTCCTAAGTCGGGTAAGAAGAGCCTTGCAATCTGGCTGGCCGTCCTCTACCTCCTCTGATTTTCAACCATTCTTCAGCCGTCAGAACGAGTTAAGTCTACAAGACGGATGCATACTATGGGGCAATCGTGTAGTTGTGCCGCCACAAGGCCGACGGGCCATCCTCAGAGACCTGCATAATGCTCATCCTGGTACAGTTAGAATGAAACCTCTCGCCCGCAGTTATGTTTGGTGACCCAAAATTGACGCAGATATAGAAAACGTGGTGAAAGCATGTCATGTGTGCCAAATAACACAGAAGACTTTACCGAAGGTCCCTCTGAAGCCTTGGGCCTGGCCCGACTCGCCGTGGAAGAGGGTACACGTCGATTATTTTGGGCCATTCCAAGGCCGTATGGTTTTGGTGGTAGTTGACACCCACACGAAATGGATGGATGCGATTCCGACAGGAAATTCTTGTTCTTCACTGACTACAATCAACAAGTTGCGAACCGTCTTTTATACTTTTGGGATACCTAAAATGCTCGTTTCAGACAATGGTCCGGCCTTTGCTAGTGCAGAATTTAAAGATTTCATGGAGAAAATGGAATTAGACATTTAACTACTGCCCCGTACCACGCTGCTTCAAATGGCCTCGCAGAGCGTGCAGTCCCGACAATAAAGCACGGACTAGCCAGACAGACAGAAGCGGACTTGGCCACCAAGTTGTCGCGCTTTCTGTTCAGCTATCGCATAACACCGAACGACTCAACTGGTGCCTCGCCTGCAGAATTGATGTTCAAGCGGCGGTTGCGCACACGACTCGACCTGCTTAACCCATAAACGCATGATAGAATCATTGCAAAACAGACGAAGATCAAAGAACGATGTGATGTGAACACCCGACCACGAGTCGTCGCACCTAACGAAAGTGTCTACACGCGACTGGAACACGAAACGAACTGGTGCCCAGCGGTAGTTCGAACAAGTGAGGGGCAAATAGTGGAATTAGAGTTAGAAGATGGGAGAATTGTGCGTCGACATCTGAACCAAGTTCGAAGCCGAACGGACACAGTAAGTAGAGAATTCGGAAAGTTCGAACTGCCAGCAACCCTTGATAGGGATCCTGACATCCCGATGACTGAACACCTACTGCCTGCACAGAACACTACGCCACCGACCGAGGCGTATGTTCCACCTCCTTCTACCTCGGCCAACACTAGCTTAGGAGCAGAGGAGCCAGTGACTGCACAAAGCGGCGCAGAGGTAGAAAATACCGCCCTGAGAAGGTCGACCCGAATCCGCAAACCTGTCCAACGCTTTCAGGACGAATCTTATTAGAACATTGTCTGACTATCCACTATTACCTTTGCTGTTTCCCCCCCCCTCCCCCTCATGCTCTCCACTTTAGGGTGGAGGGATGCAGCGTATCCGGCTCAGGCCGTCAGGACATCATGCCACAAACGCGTGACAAGCGAACGATCAAGGTCATGGCCCCCTGTTCACACCTTCTTTGTGCTGATTGGCCACCCATTAACCTATGACAGTCCCCCTTGCCATATACCCGGCCGTTCTCACAAGCCTCCTCACTTGTGCTGTCTATCGTACTCAGTACACGCCCTATTTCCAATTACCCTTCTGTTTTGCATACATAACAGAAGCCATCTCGATTCTTGAAAGAGCATCAGCAACCACATTTTCCTTACCATGGGTATGTTGGATGTCGCAGGAAAACTGTGAGATGAAATCTAGATGACGGATTTTACGGTACGAGTAGCGATCGGGAGAGGCCCTCAGTGCAAAAACGAGTGGCTTGTGGTCTGTTAGAACAACAAATTCACGACCCTCGAGGAAATGGCGAAACTGCCGAATGGATAAGTAGACGGCGAGGAGTTCTCGGCCGAAGACACTTTAGCGGGTCTCTGCTGGGCTTAGCTTCCTCGAGAACAAAGCCCGAGGCTGTAGAACACCACTAACAGTTTGCTGAAGTGACGCACCAACGGCAGTGCTGGAAGCATCTGTCATGAGAGTTAGTTGGGCATCAGCGCGGGGGTGGGCTAGTATTGTTGCGCTCGCAAGTGCGGCCTTGACGTCATTGAAGGACTTGACGGCCTCCTCGGTCATCACCAGTGTCTTCTTTGAGTGGGTCAAAAGGCTGTTGAGTGGCTGCAGAATGGTGGCACCATGGGGAAGAAAACGGTGATAGTAGTTCACCATGCCCAAGAAGCGGCGTAGTTGGTTGATGGTTGTTGGGACTGGGAACGTTGATATGGCCGAAACTTTTTCCTGGACGGGCTTTATCCCATCTGAGTTCACTTCGTGACCAAGAAAGATAAGGTTGGGGACTCCAAACTCACACTTAACAGCATTTATTACAACGCCGAAGGAGTCAAGCCGTTCGAAGAGCTGTCGAAGATTAATCTCATGTTCAGCAGCGTCAGAACTAGCCACTAGCAAATCATCAATGTAGGCGTAGACGAAGTCGAGACCTCGAAGAACCTGATCAATGAATCGCTGAAAGGTTTGCCTGGCGTTCCTCAGACCAAAGGGCATACGAGTGAATTCGAATAACCCAAAAGGAGTGGTCACTGCGGTTTTCCGCACATCACTGGCCTCGATTGGGATTTGGTGGTAGGCACGAAAAAGGCCAATCTTGGAGAAAATTTGCTTACCGTGCAGCGAAAGAGTGAAGTCTTGAATGTGCGGGACGGGATACTGGTCGGGGACAGTCACTGAGTTTAACGCCCAATAATCACCACACGGTCGCCAGTCGCCGCTCTTCTTTGGGACAAGGTGGAGGGGCGATGCCCAGCAGCTGTCGGACTGTCGGATAATGCCGAGCTCAAGCATGTGTTCGAACTCTGCCTTGGCAATCTTCAAACGGTCCGAAGCAAGACGGCGTGGTCGGCAAGCTTTGGGAGGTCCGGTGATGGAAATATGGTGGGTGACTGTGTGCCTGATGTCCACTTCTCGAAATGAGGGGTTGGTCAGGCGGAAAAACTGCCTGAGGAGTGAGTGGAAAAGACAGTCAAAAATGGGCATAACAGTAAGAGGGCTGACGCAGGGGTTCACATCGGATTGACAACGGGCATGAAGGCTGGTGATGCAATCGACGAGTCGGTGATTCCTCAAATCAACTAGTAGATTGAAGTGAGTTAGGAAATCGGCGCCTATGAGGGCGACGGAAACGTCGGCAATAATGAAAACCCATCGGAAAATCCGATGGAGGCCCAAATCGAGTGTGATGTAGCGCTGTCCAAAGGTGGGGATGCTGGAGTTGTTGGTAGCTGTTAGACAAAAAGAGTTGCGGTGTTTGCGTTCGACCGGAGTTGGTGGAACCACGCTAACCTCGGCACCAGATTCGACAAGGAATTTGGCGCCAGCGATACGGTCCCAGAGAAACAAACGGCGAGTGTGAATATTGACAACGCTTCCAGCAGCAGTGGCCTCTACTGTCGGGTGCGATCGTCTCCCTGAAGCCGTTAGAGATGCCTTGAAAGAGCATGGCTGAAGACATCGTCGAGCTGCTCCCCCAAATTGTTGGTGATACCAGCAGACGCTACTTGGAGATTGTGGACGGCGGGAGTGGGAAACGGAGGAAGTAGGGCGACGGTTTGGTGTTCGCCGCGGGCCGTTAGTGGTAACTGCAGTAAGCTGGGCTTTCAGGCGCATTAATACCTCCTCGAGCCGATCCAAGCGAACGCTAGCTCCTTGAGAATTGGAGTTGATGAGTGACTTCTGGTCTTGGGACATCGCGTTGTAGGTCGCCGGAAATTTGTTATGGTGGACGAAAAGTTTGCGGAATTCCAGTGTTCGGAAATTCGGGGTCACCAATTTGTGGCGGTCAAGGGTGTGAGATCAACTTAAAACATACACAATAAGTTCGTTTCGTCTACTGTCAGAAGTCAGGGAGCTGTGAGGACTAGTTTATTCTGTACACAGGGCAGGTTGCCGTAAGTCGGCGGTTTGCTTGCAACAGAGAAAAGCGTCCGTTCACGGAGAGCGTCAGTCGCGGTGTGTGTTTACGCGAGCGTGAGTGTTTGGGTCAGCAGGAAGGGGAGAATGACTGTCTGAGTGGTGGTCGTGTGATTGGACAAATTAGGGGAGGAATGGAGGGCGCATACTCACAAGGCCTCACGGGAATCAAGCCAAAGCGTTCGACGCGCGTTAGGTGATACTAGTTTGTGAGAGCAGCCGGGGGTCACTGCAGCTGGACAGGAGGTGCCCCAGTTCTAGCCGGCGGGGGTGGTCGTGTGTCAGCGGCCTGTCAGTGCTTGTCGCAGCCGTCGGCCGACAAAACGGAGCCGGAGAAAAGGGGGGCTGGAGCGACTGCTACACCATTTAGAAGACGTATAGTTAATAAGAAGCTTCGGGGCCTCACCGTACCTCATAGACTATGTATCTCGTCGTAAGCTAAATGTTTTGGTGAGATCTTTAGTTTCCAATGAGATTCCTATTGTAAACGGTGTCCCATAAGGTACCGTGTTAGGCCCTCTTTTGTTTCTGTTTAACAGTAATGACATTTCATCGCCATTTACACATTCTAAATTATTTATTTAAGCTGATGACCTCGAATTCGCTTATCGATCCTCTAAATCTGCGATTCAGCGCTGCCTGGAGCAAGTCCGCGCTGACTTGCTCACACTTCCCGCGTGGACATTAAATCGATAATTGAATTTTCCATATCGACATATCGCTATATGTGTCTTTGGCCTGCACCTGTGATTGTATGTGCCACCACCAATGTCTTAGGTTTAAGCTACACCAATAATCTAGATCCCTCTCTTACCAACACGTGGCCCAATCTTACCGTTGGACCACGGTTTGGTTAGGTGTGGCCCTGGCCCAACCTCATTACGGGTTAATGTATAAACAGTTCCTTGTTTCAAATTATGCACTTAACCGCTAAGATAAATCATATTAAGGCCAAACTACATAAAATTAAGCATATAGATTAGCCCTCATCGTCTAAACGTACCGTCATGATGGTATGTCTCAACTTCGTCCTAGCTCCACCCATACTGTGGTACGTAATTTATTGCCTCCCTGATGTGTGGTATCGCTGACCGTGCTAATCACGGCTGTGGGAAAGCGTTAAAAGGCGAGTTCCCTTGCGATTTTTTTGGGAGATTGGGCTAATTTGGCCGCATTCGCCCTTGTCAAGCCGTGGCCCAACCTTGTAGCCCAGCCTAGCCCAATCCTAGCCCAAATGAGCTAGATTGGGCTGGGTTGGGCTGGTGATGGCAGGGTCGCCACGCGCTGACAGCATTACAGCCAAAGCTGCCCAGATTTGTGGCTTTATTTCTCAGAATTTCCATCTTGATGAGATTAAATTAAGACTTTATCGAATGTTTGTCCTTCCCATTCTTGAGTATTGTTGCCCATTCTTTGGTTTGATGAACGAGGCTAGTCGTTATTAAATTGAAAATGTTCAAAGGCATTTTACTAGAAGGAACATCCAAATATTTTCCACTCAAATTAACGCCAACCAACTAACATGAAATTCCTACGTGCTCTGAGACAAGAAGAAGGCTTCTGCCTCCTCTCTCGTATTAATAATCGTTCAAATCTTCCTGGGATTCCGCCCTCGCTTTTGTTAGTCACCCATGCAGTCCTCGTAATACTTCCTTGACTATACCTCCTCCATTTTCATTCAACTTTGAGCGTTTCCCTTTTCTTGGCTCTCAGGTATACTTTCCTTCGGAATAACCTTCCAACAGATATAAGATCATCAGAGAAGCTGCAGGCCTTTAAGAGAGAATGGCGCTTCTCTCCAGGCAGTATGGTCTGTGCCGACGCGGGCGTTGAAGTCACCGAGGACAATCAACTTGTTCGCCTTCGACACAGTCGCCAAGAGTGCGTGCAGGTCCTCGTAGAATTTGTCTCTGACGGCGTCGGGGTTGGTCATCGTCGGAGCGTAGACGCTGATGATGGTGGCGAATTTGCCTCCCCAGAGAGGCAGGCGGAGGCTCATCAGGCGATCGTTGATGCTCTGCGGCAAACAGGGCAATCGTCCCACGATGTCGTTCCGAATGGCGAAGGCGACACCCGCGTCCTGTCGCTCTGCCCTGGGCCGACCGCTCCAGAAGAAGGTGTGGCCCGCACCCACCTCCTCCAGTTGGCCTTGTTCGGAGAATCGGGCATCGCTGAGTGCGGCGATGTCCACCTTGTAGCGCGCCAGTTCCCGTGCCACTAGCGCCGTCCTTCGTTCCGGTCGGTTGCTCCTCGGATTGTCTAAAAGGGAAAGAACATGCCAGGCTGCCAGAGTGAGCGGACTCACCCTGCCAGTCTGGTGACAACGAGTGGGGCGACGGGAAGGAGGTGGAGAAAATGGCGAAGGAGAAGAATAGGCAGACGAAGAGAAAGAAGAGGTAGGATGAGGAGGTGAGCGAGTATTCAGTCAGTCAGTCAGCGTATTTAAGGGAAATAGGCTTACGCCTTTGGACTCTCTATTTGCACATGAAAAATCGGGAAAATAAGCAAAACAGTGAAGAAATTACAGCATGAAGTGAATGCAGACATCGATTAACATAGGTCACTGGTTTTATGGTCACAAAGTCACACAGTCCGCTTGTTGCTGCAGCATCTGTCTTTCACGCCGACATTTAAGTCTCTTCACAGATTGAGACATAACAATGGTCACGGGCAGGTTATTTCACGGTTCCACAACGCGGTTGGAGAAGAAATGCTTTCTCACATTTAATCTACCTTGGGGCACACGTTGTTTGAAGGGATGTCCCCGGCGGTTAGTTGTAGTGGCGAGTTGGAAAAAGTTGTCGACCGGGAGGGCGCAGTTCAAGCCACGCACGATAGGGAAAGTTTTATCAAGTCTCCGCGAAACTGCTTATAACTTAGAGGATAGAGTGTACGTTTGTTTGGGCGGATGTCGTATGGCAGTGCACCTTGACCTCTTATTTATTTTGTTGCTCGCCTCTGCACCCTTTCGATCAGATTGAAATTCCGCTGCGTCCACGGTCTCCAGGCCTGAATTACATATTCGAGATGCGGCCTTACAAACGTGCCGAAGACTTTTGAGAAGCAGTCTTCATCGAAAACCGCGAATGCCCGCTTGATGGCATATAACATTGAAGTTGCGGCCTTGGCCGCCTTACAGCATTGTGCAGAAAGCTTTAGGCTGTCTGCAACCCAAACTCCTAGATCTTTCTGCGTTTCCGCTTCTCAAATTGGCATTCCGGTCAGACAATACTGCCCCGTACTAGGGTCTGATTTCCAAGACGCAGTATGGTACATTTGTTCAAATTGAAGGACAAGAGCCATCTGCGGAACCACTCGTCCAATCCATAAAGATTTTCTTGGAAGTTGATCTCATCGGCAGCATTCTGGATGACTTTCCAGATTTTTATTCCGCAAACATGGCACTATCACAGTTCAACCCATCTACACAATCATTGATGAACAAGAGAAAGAGGGTTGGTACGAGCACGGAGACTTGTGAGGCTCCACTCTCTATGAATGAGCGTCTTGATTGCTGTTGTTCTAAGCAGAAAATGTGGGAACGGTCACGAGGAAATTCTCGACCCATTTGCCGCCGATTCCCATGACTCTCAACTTGTTCATGAGATGCTGATGCGGAACACTAGCGAACGCCTTCCGGAAATCCATACAGGCCACATGCGCAGTGTGTTTTGCATCCAGTGCTCTTGTCCAACTTTGCATTTTATACAGCAATTTCGTCGCGCACGATCTTCCCCTGCGGTAACCGCATTATGCATTGGGCAAGAGGTTGTTGGTTTTCATATAAACCATTAAATTTTATTCTCCACATCCCTCCCGGGCGACTTTCTCCATGACATTGAGAAAGTAACATCGGTAATATGGGACCCCGCCAACAAATTGCCGTGTCCGCTCATATTTCTCCCTCTGGGTGTGGTTTCGCTTTCTTGGATCTCATCAAAAATTTCAACTTTTCGACTATTCAGCCCATGTAACGTGTCCTTCACGGAACGCGATGTCCTCCTTAACCAACCCCCTCAATGAAGTGGTGGGGCCATGTTGACGTACACACTTTAATACACCTCCGTTTCGCTTACCGCGACCCTCATCAGGAATTCGTCCTGGCCTCCGCGATTTCGAGCTCTCATCCCCAATGCCAGCCCCAGACTGGGTCTGCTACCACCTAACATCGCCACGCTTTCATCTTATTCACATGAAGAATTTATCCCGCTCTCCTATATCACTTCGCGAACGATGATTTTCGCGGATATTAGAAGGATTTCCTCATTTCGACCCCCAGCGATATTTCGACGATCGCGGCGGGCTCTGTTTTCGTCTTCTGCTAGTAGCCTGATCGGTAAGCATATAAGTATCACGGTCACATCCTCCCGCGCCTTGATAACACCCACAACCTACATTTCCTCTCCTCGCCTGAACTGCAAGCGGACTGCGACCGATCGCGATTGGGTCCTCACGTCTCGCCACCTTCACGGTTACGTCTGCTATCGACCCCAAAAAATCAGGATCGCATCTGCAGCGAAAGACCTCACCTGGTTTAGCAATTTAACTTTTACAAAAACCGTATCGAATCCTCTTGTACTCTTACCTGCAGGACGGTCTTGTCCGACCCGAGGAGGACCGGAGGAGTAAGAGTAAGACGATTTGCCGGAGCGGTAGATGTGCATCATGCAACTGCAGTAGAATGGTATCGCATGTGCAGGGACTTCTGTCTGAATACATTAATTACAGAAAGTGGCCAGCTAGATGGACCTGGAGTTGGAGCTCAAATCGATGAAACCCTAGTAAGTAGAAGGAAATATAACAGGGCAAGGCCAAGGCGACAGTCCTGGGTAATGGGCATGTATGACACCCAAAAAGGAAGCCATTTTTGAGCAAGTAAGTAACCGCACTTGGTCAACACTGAAAACAACTATGAGCTGGGTGGCGATGGGTATCGTTGTAGTGACGGATGAGTGGGAGGGTTATACCCGTCTGTTCACAGTCGAATAGGAACACTACAAGGTTAACCATAGTCGAAATTTCGTCCACACCACCACGGGTAGTCATACTAATGCAATAGAGGGCTACTGGAGCCGCCTAAAGATAAAGCTGCAGGAAGGTGAACCGGTATCCGGTAGGGCGGTATGGGCGCGTGTGGACGAGGCACAGTACAGTCTGTGGTACAACGTAAAATCGGATAACCTACCGGAGCCGAGGCCTTCCCAGCAAACTCAGAAACCGCAAAGGAAAGGAAGCGGACGACAACTACCGAGCAGCAGAACGTGTGAGAGAACGAACATGACCATGTTGAAGAAGCAGCAGCGTACACCAAGACAACACGCAGGGACTGCTGCTGCTGCTGTAACCGGATGAAAGTTTGATAAATGTGCAAATAAACAAGTCTCTAATGCCAAATCGCTTGTTATTCCGAGTTGCCTAAATGAAAAATGAAGAAAGCGAGGCTAGGAGGGGGGGGGGACATACAAGTTAGGCGGACTAAAATGGAACGTAAATGTTGCAGGTAGTCCGTTGCTGAGATGGTGATGTTAACAAGGGGAAGACTTAAATGGAAGTAGTAACCTGTGAAAAGGTAAGAAATGGGAAGAGCAGAGGGCAGTGAAGTGCAGTGCGAATAACGAACCGAACATGTTTGGGCTGAGAAACGGCGTCCGCAGGAACAAATGCGAATGTAGGATGACAAAGAAGGGATGGAGCCTTCGAAGGTTACCTGAGGAACGGAGTAAGCAGAAGAGGCAGAGGCGAAGGAGTATTTCGTGTAAATGAACAAGTGCAAGACAATAAATTGCAACACCCCGACAGAGGCAGGCGAATGGGAAGTAAAAAATCTAGCGGGATATGCGAATTATGAACAGGGAGTAACCGAGAGGACGTAGTATATGCGGTCTATTACAAGTCGACTGTAATGCAGTAAGCCAACCGCCGGGAACCGGGGAAAGTTACGCAAGTGAACGAAGGTAAGGGAGCTGTAGGTAAGAAATGAGTAGAAGTATGCCACCGCAAGCGGAACACCTGAGGAGAATTCCAACCGCCGCAAGCATCGTCCAAAAATGGGTAGGCAAAACAATAGGAGTAAGGCAAACATAAAATTGCGCGAAAACCTTCAAGTCAATAGTAAAAGGAAGGGCAAACAGAACCCTACGCCTAACCGTAACCCTAGCCATAACTTCAACCGTTCGTGCAGAGACGAATCCTAACCCCAAACTAAACGGTAGCCCCAACCCTAACCCTAAAAGTATCCCTGACCATAACCGTTAACCCTACCTAAACTACAACCATTTTCTGTAACACCAAACCTAACCGTGATCTTAACTGCCGACACTTAACGTAGTCCTAACCGCAGTCCCTAATTGCAACATTAACACTAACCCTAATCGTAAACGTAACCGCAAGTCGAAGCCGAATCCTAACATCAGCCATAGCCCTAATCCTAAACCTAAATATAAACTGAGACGCAGAGAGCAAACCTAACGCTAACCCAAACCCTAAACCTTGACCCTACTCCAAACCCTGAACATTGATACTATCGCTGACACTAACCCTTGCCGCTAGCCCTAACCATAAACCTGACCCTAACCCTAAAAATTAACCTTAAACCCTGGTCCTAAAGCTAAACCCTTGCCCCCTATGCCAGTCACAAGCAGTGGGTTTGGGTTTAGTCAACGATTTGTCAGTTTGTGTTCATGTAGGCGGGTCTGCATTTTCCGTCCGGTTTCCCCAACATAATTGCAGTCTCCATAGCTATAACGTATTTGATGAACAACTGCTGGGGTTTCAGTGGGCGGCAGTGTGTCTTTGGGTTGCATCGAACGACGACTAATTATTGCCTGGGGTCGAGGGACAATGCCTACCCTGGCGGGACGTGAAACCAAATCAAGGACTCCTTTAATGTAAGGAATAGCCCTCCAGACATTGGGTTGTTCTTCTTGTGGCCGTCGTCTGTTCACTCGGTGCTTGCTTTGCTCGGATATCCATTGGTCCGAAAGAGGTCATGAAGGTATTGTCGTTCAACTCTTTTGTCGGCTGGTGTGCTGCAGTGTGTTTCAACTCATTGGAGTAGAGTACGGACACAGTTGCGTTTGTAAGAGAGGAGATGATCGCTGTTGAAGTGTAATATTAGTCTTGTGTTGGTGGCCTTTTTGAAAACAGTAGTTTTTAATTGTCCAGTTGTACACCGACGTACAAGAACACTGAGGAAGGGAATTTAGTTGTTTGTTTCAGCTTCCATTGTGAATTGGATATTCGGGTCAACCGAGTTCAGTAATTCTTTAAGGTGCTCCACATCAGATGATTTGACAATGGCGAAATTGTCATCGACGCAACGAGCCCAGAACTTTGGTTGATACTTGGCGAACACCAAATGTTCTATCCGTTGAAGCACCACTTCAACAATCAGCCCTGATATGGGGGAGCCAATAGGGATGCCTTTGCTTTGTTCATGCATTTGTCCCCCAAAGGTAAAATATGTTTTTAGGCAATACCGCAAGAGCTTTATGAGATATTCGGTTTTAAGAAGGTTGCCTCTCTCATTGTGGCGGTCAATCAGGAGTTGTCTCACAACGGAAATTGCAGACCCGCCTACATGAGCACAAACTAGAAACTCGGAGCTAGAGCCAAACTCAGACCGCAGACCGAAATTTTTGGCCCGGTATGTGGGTGATACCTTTGTCGTCATCGAACGGGATCAGGTTCTGGAATCCAGAAAGCATCTCAACGTCGTCTTTTCGGACATTTTAGTTTACGATGGAGGATGACGAAAACAACCAGCTGGCTTTTCTTGATGTCCTCGTCTTCCGCAAAGATTGTGGTGGCTTGAAAACCAAACTATTCAGGAAAAGGACAAACACCACTCAAGTACCCAGTTACGACAGCAACCACCTAATCAGTCACAAACGCAGCTGAGTAAGGATGCTATACCAACATTTGGGACGCGCTGCAATGGACCGGAAGACAAGTTTGCTGAATTACAACACCATCGATGGGTGTTCAAAGCCAATGGCTACCCGCGCAGCTTCGTCGACCAGTACATACACTAAGGGACGAAAGGCCAAACAGGACGATCCCCAAATGTAGGAGAGCGCTTCCATATGTCATGAACATTTCGGACGCTTTCGACCGCCTTCTCGCACCACTTGGGGGTAGGGCTGCACACAGGCCGGAGACAACCATAGGGCGCCAGATCATGAAACCGAAAGACCAACTGCCACGGCAGGAAACATCTAGAGTCGTTTAACGGGTCTGGTGCAGTTGCGGACAAAGCAACTACGTCGGAGAAAGCGGGCGACTACTCCGAACGCGAATGGCCGAGCACGCGGCAGCAGTTAAGAGGAACAACACCAGCTCCCAAGTCGTGGCTCATTCGATGGGACCCAACCACACATTTAAGTTTGATGAGGCAGATATTCTTGCTAGAGACGACAACCGCGTGAGCCGTGAACTGCTCGAGTCATGGTTTTCCGGTCCTCATTCAATCAACAAGCGTACCGTCCCCCCCCGCTCCATATTCGGCGCTGAGACTTAGTCTAGGCAAAGCAGTTAGTCGCGAGGAGGACTCGCGGATAACCACTGTCCTCGGTATCAATGTCGGCGAGCCAAATCACCCAAGAGTCCAAACGGATGACGATATTCGGTATTCAGCCACTCGGCGGCGTGCGGTGAGCATTGGAGCCGATAATCTTGACCGGCATACAGGCGCATAGCAACTGAATGACAACGGCATACTTCAACGCCTGGCCATTCGAGCTGTGATGCACTCGGGAGGTGCCAACTGTGATAGGCATGTAGCGGCCCAGCAACTGCATCTTATAAAAACTGCAACACCTGGGCAATCCACTACCCTTATCTGACTCTGTCTCGGCTGATGGATTTGAGTAAGAATCGGAAACGCCAGGCTAATAAAGCTTTTGTTCTAGCGATCTTGTCTCACTCTTCGCAAGAAAGTATCATCGAGCAACGCGGCTGGGGGAGTTAAAAGCTTGAATGCCGATTAAACTCTGACTGGCAGGCGCTCTGGCTATGGCCTAGGTGACTGGCCCCTTGTCGGTAAGAGTTCAACGTGGCACTGGTATTGACCAAGAAGTTGAGGTAACGCAAATAGCAAGTCGGGTCCAATTAAAAAAAACGAATAGTGAAAGAGGAGGGTGACGATAAACCCGAATGAAAATTGTTAAGCCCCGAAATGAAACGGAGGGTGCAATGAAAAAGAAGGGACCATACGTGTAGAGCATACACAGGTCTTTCCCCAACGAGCAGAATTAATATCTCTTGGCCAGTGATGCCAGTCATTTACATAGCAGGACGCAGATGGGCACGTGTTATGTACGTCGTGGTGGTGGTGGTGGTGGTTGTTGTTGTTATCAGGCATTGTAGCAACAAAACACTTTGCGTCGCTGCGGGTATGCGGAGTGTCGTTGGCGGGGACAAACTTCGCAGCTGTACGATGACTCCCGGTTCGTTTTTGGGCTTGGACGGTTGTTATACGATACTGCACTGCGGTCAACTGGCACTTCTGAAAATGGCAATGTGCCTGACACCGTCTAGGCTGGTAGGGCAGACAGGAGAGCGAGGGGCTTCGTCAAGAGTGTACGTGAGCCTCATGAATATCTTACATAGTCACATCCCGGTACCCAGCTCTCATCTGTGGTCCTAAGAAGCCGTGCCCAACACG